TTTTATTGTTTTATTTCATTTCTTCTGTTACCAAATTGTTTTTGAAGAGGGTGTTAATCAGTTTCTCTGTGTTTGCTATTTTTCTATTGGTCTTCCTAATGTTGATTTCTAATTTTTTGACATTGTGATCCGAGAAGATGTTTTGCAGTGTTTCAGTGTTTTTACATTTATTGAGGCTTGCTTTGTGGCCTAATGTGGTCAATCTTGGAGTGTGTTCATGTGTGCTGGAAAAGAATATGTATTTTGCTGTTTTGGGGCAAAGTGTTCTTTATATGTCTATCAGGTTGATCATATTGTTTAGTTCCTCTGTATTTTTGTTGAGTTTCTTTCCAGTTGTTCTATCTCTTATTGAAAGTGGTATATTAATGTCTCTTACTATTACTGTGGAGTCATCTATTTGTCTTTTCAATTCTGTTTAAGTCTGGTTTATATATTTTTGGTCTTTTTCATTGGGTGCATAGATATTTATAATGGTTATATCCTCTTGTTCAACAGATCCTTTAATCATTATATAATGTCCTTCCTCATTTCTTATGGTCATTTTTTCTTCAAGTCTATTTTATCAGAAATTAATATTACCACTCCTGCCCTTTTTTGGTTGCCATTGCTTGGTATATCTTTCCCAACCTTTGGTTTTTAGTCTACTTTTATCTTTGTGTCTAATGTGAGTCTCTTGTAGACAGCATATTGATGGGTCATGTTTTATTATTCAGTCTGCAACTCTCTGTCTCTTGAGTGGTCCATTTAATCCATTTACTTTCAGTATAATGATCAAAAAGTATGAATTTATTGATGTGAATTTTGTTATGTGTTTTTTTGTGGTGGTGATGATTTCTTTGTTCCATTCCATTCTTTGTTCCAATTTTCTGTGCTGCACTCATTTTGTTTATGAATAGTGTGATCATCTCCTTCATTGCTATTGTTTTAGTATTTGCTAAATATTTATGCTTGTCCTCTTTTTTATTTTGATATAAAGGTTTATTATATTTCTTTGAGGTTACCCTGTGATTTATTATTTTCTTCCCAAGTTGAAAACAGTCTGTTCTGTCTCACAATTGTCTTGACTTCCTCATCATTTAGAAGTTCTGTAACTACACTCTTCATTCCCTTTGTTTGGTCAGATAGATGTCCTGATTTACCAATTGATGTTTCTAGTTCCCTGTTTATGGTCTTGTAAGCTTATTTTACTTTGGATAATTCTATAGTTGGGTTGGTTTCTGTGTTTTTTTATCATGTGTGTTAATCGTTTGTTGTTGTTGGTTCTCTGTGTGAAGGACTCTCTAGCACCTGTTGTAAGGTTGGTCTGGTTTTAACAAATTTTCTTAATTTCTGCTTATCTGGAAGTATCCTAATTTCACCCTGTAATTTGAGGGACAGTTTGCTGAGTATATTATTCTTGTTGGAATGTTTTTCTTTCTGGGTTTTATGTATTTTATTCTATTCCCTTCTGGCTTACATGGTTTCTGCTGAGAAATCAGAGCTTAGTCTTATTGGTTGCCCTTTGTAGGTAACTTATCATTTTTCCCATGCACTTTCAGGATTCTTTCTTTGTCTTTGATTTTGGTGAGTTTGATGATGATATGTCATGGTAAATTTCTTTTGGGGTCTATCCCATTTGGGGTTTGCAGAACTTCTTGAATGGATACATTATTGTCTTTCATCATATTAGAGAAATTTTCTTCCAACAAATCTTTGACAATTTTTTCTGTGGTTTTGTCTCTTCCTGTTCTGGAATTCCAATGAAATTTTCCTCTTGATGATATCCCAAATGAATTTTAGGCTCTCTTCATTATGTTTTGATCTTTTGTCTGATTGATGCCTTACCAAATGCATTTCAGGTATTTATCTTTAATTTCATTAGTTCTGTCTTCCATTGATTTGATTCTACTCCTTTGCCCATTCAATATGCCATCTATTTCTGAAATCTTAATATTAATTTTCTGGATTTCTATTTATTGGTTTTGTATCATTTCTGATCTTTTTTTAGTTTGTCAATTTGTTCTTGTTTGTTTTCCTAAGTTATTCTAGAGTTTTTTCTTTGTTTTCCTTAATTTTATCAGTTTTTCCTTGATCTTGTCAGTGTTTTCCTTGATCTGTCTCTCAATCTGTTGAAAGTATCCAATTATATATATTTTTTAATTCCTTATCAAGGAGTTCTAATGTTACTTCTTCCTCAGTTATGTATTCTGGGTTTGTATCCTGGTCCCTTGTTTTTACTACTTTATCTTGCTTTTTTGTGTGAACTGTGATGGTCAATTGTCTCCAAGACATTGTGGTGGTATTGTATTTATGTTTAATTTGTGGTTGTATGTTGGTGTTATTCATCCAAGATAGTCTTTTTTCCTTTATTTTGTTTTGATATATCTGTGTAAGCAGAGTACTGTGCTCCTCTATTTGCTGTTGTTAGCACTTAAGCACTCACCACTTGTCTGCTGGTGTGTGTGATAGGGAATGAGAGTGTGTGCATAGATCTCTGTAGCTGGTCATAAAGAGTGGTTGAGGGTGAATTCACATAGCCATCTATCATTGGCCAGTTGGTGCAAATGCAAGTGGTAGCCCTCAATCAATGGGTGGGGCTGCAGGAAGTGTAGGTATGGTAGTGTTGTGTAGGAACAGTTGCTGTCTCCCATTCAATTAGACAAAAAATAAGGAATAAAAACTTAAAAAAGAACAAGAGAACAAAAACCTCAAACAGAGTAAACAAATAGGAATAATCACAAAAAGAAGGGAGAAAGAAATGCAATAAATGAGAATAAAAAATTTTAAAATATATTTAAAAAGATAATGAAGAAAAAAGATAAATAAAAGCCACAATATATAAGGAGGGAGGAATGATAGAAAAGAGCAAGAGTAAATGAATAGTAAAGAAAAAAATGGGAAAACTTCAAAAGGAAAAACTAGAGATGGAAAGAAATAAAAAAGAAGGGAACCAGGATATTTGAAGGCGGAGGGAAGTAAAAGAAAAACCAGGGATGGGAAAGAGGGGGAAAAAAGGAGAAAAGGAGGAAGATAAAAAGAATAATTTGAAAGCAAGCAAACAATAACCAAACCTTGGGGTGGGGGCAAGGCGCCCAGTGTCCAGGCTCTGTAAGGGCACAGACTAGGATGTGCCTGATGTGATTCTGACATGGTTCTTCTTGCTGCTCAAGAAGGTAGATAGAGGCAGGGGATGGCCACACCTCTGTTCACCAAGAGTGTGAGGGGTATAAATAATAAGGGTACTGTTGCACCTTTCTAGTTGTCAGCCTCCACTTCAGTTCCCTCTGCTATCCTCAGCACGTGGATCCTATTCTTAGGTTCCTGTGCAGGTAAGAATGCCACTTGCAAATATTCAAAATGGCTGCACCCTCAGCACGACCACTGATAATCCACATGTCTGTTTAATCTCCTTCTTTGTTGTTTTCCTTTCTGGTTGTCAGGCACCAATGTAGTCCTTGCCCATACAGTACTTGATGAGCAGAGCCAATTTTTAGGTTGCTACCGGGAAATGTTCAAAATGGTTGTGTCCTCAGGGCAGCCAGAAGTCCACTGCTCCATTTGTCTCCTTACTCATTGTTTCATTCAAGTTCTTCTACCAGTTGCTATTTAATCCACTTCTTTCTCCTTCCCTTCAAAACTCAAGGTTCCAGGATCGTCTTCTCTACTGGTTTCAAATGATCTCTTGTTGTTTTGTTGCAGAGGGTCTGTAGGCTTGTCTGCCTATTCCACCATCTTGCTGCAACTCCTAACTGTGTGTTTAAGAACATCTAGGTCATTTGGAACAGACGCTTTAGTTTAGTGCAAGGAAAGGAGCCAAGGTGGTGCAGTGGTTAAAGTGCTTGGTTGCTGACCGAAAGGTTGGTATGGCAAACCTACCAGCCACTCTGTGGAAAGAGTAAGAAGCAGTTTGCTTCCAGGAAGATTTACAGTCTTGGATGTTCCATGGGAAATTCTACTCTGTCCTTAGGGTCATTATGTGTCAGAATCAACTTGATGGCAGTGGATTTTTTGATTAGTGCAAGAAAAGGCTCAAAGACTTTTCAATTATTTCAAAGCTGCACATAGAGCAAGTGAAGGTGATTATGATGAATTTGTTCCAAGTAGGGGTTGGTTCAATTGTTTTACAATGAAAGCAAATTCAGTAATTTCATGGAGAAGATTTTGAGCCAAAGCAGAGGTACCCCTATCAAAAATGGTGGTGCTCTGCTGAAAGATGGTGGCTCCCTGATCAAAGATGATGATGCTCCACTCAACCATGGCAGCTGACTGCACTACTTTGAATGTGTATGGCTCTGCAAAATCTCATGCACTAACAGGGCTCACTATACCTCTTCAAAATCTCCCATTCCAGGGCTTCAACTTATAATTTTTCCTGTTCTGGTTACCTTAACAAATCACCCAAATTAGGACTGTTCCTGTTTCACTTTATTGGCCATGGCAGAACTGGTTCAAATCAATTCAGAGCCAAGCAGGAGTTGTCCATAAGTTAGACCTTCATAACCTGGGGACTGCATATATAGCAAATCCAATAATGCTTTTTTATAGTATTCATTAAAATTCCATAATTTAGGCAGGAAATACATTTTCCAATAGTTCATGCACGCTTCATAAAGATTTTCTAGCTCCTACTGCATAATCATACATGAGTTGACTAACACTTGGTTTTAGTGCTAAATTATATGGGCATCAATTTCCAGAGTCTGATGTATTTTTACTGGAATATTTTTATTTAACAAAATGTATTAAAAAGTCTAACTTCTTATTTTTGCCAAAGGGAGCAAAGTCCGTGACTGTGTATTTTCCTGAAGCATTCTGGTACAACTTCTATACAGTATGTATATTACACAATTTTATAGAAATGTATTATAAACCTATTAACTCAGTGATTTAAATGATAGTCTTTTTCATTGTTTTTATAAGACTTGTAGAGCGTTGGGCTGTATAATTCTGATGTGGTTCTTTATAAGCCATATGTTTAGAATTCTTTACTCTTCTCCAAATAGTAGCAATTGGGCCATAAGTACATTAGCAAATATTTAAGATGAGAGATGGGATAAAATTTTTAGAAGCTACATAGTTATTTAATTTATACCTACATTTAACTTATTAAAAGTAAATTAATTTCCATAAGTGATGTTTCTTTACAACAGAATGTAACAAATTTTAATCCATGGGTCAGGTCCTTTCCTTTGTAAGAAATAGAAACCCATTTAAGATAGCCAAAGCAGTGGTGTATTGTAGGGATACATATGAACTGGAAAAGAAAATTTCATGGAAATCCATCAACAACAAGTATAATAGCACTAGATTTCATGGAGACTGGAGTTAGAAAATCAGGATTCTATAGCAAGTGTTTGTAAAATTTCAGACTGGTGTTCTGCCATTACCAGGACTCAAAATTCCAAGGATCCATTTTTGGTTTACTGACAACTTGGCTTCCAAAGTTTTCAGCTTGTCATGTTCTCTTTGGCCCTAATAACAGACATATATTGTGATATATCCTTTGCACTTCTATGATAAGTGGCAGATTCTTTCCATGTTTTATAGTTCAAATTCCAAAGAAAAATTATATTATTAATTCATCTAATCTTTTCCACCTAAGCTACATCTAGTCTCTTCCCTATGGCTGGGGGGCTGGGGAGGGGGTTAGAATATAAGGGAAAGCAGTATTTCTTCTATAGTGATTTTATTTTCACTATGTTCACTTCTCTCATTTTCTACAACTATAGTTTGATGAGAATTAGTTTAGTTTTACCCAATCTTCAAGAAATTTTTATGGGAATAAATTTTGAATACAAAACATAAGGATATGGGAGAAAGGATATATGGTCTATTTTTTAATTATCAACTGTTTGTGATGGGGAAAGTGGTATTAAGAATTCTTCATTTCAGTGGTCAGAATATTATATCTTAAACAATTAAATATGGTTTTCAAACTATATTCTGCAGAGTGCTTCATAAATTTTCATGAATATTTCAGTTAAATATCATTTCTTAATAAAATGTAACATTTTTTAAAAAAAAAGTATAATAAAAAATGCTCACATAATAGTGTCATTATTTCACATTTGGGAGCCCAACATCTTGTTAACTTTTATTCTTGCTGTTTGAATTTTTAGTATGTAAATGTGGTTATAGATATGAATTTGAAAATAAATTTATACTAATAAATGCTGCTGTCATGTGTCTAACCCATTGGACTTCTATAGAAGGTGCTTTAAAAAAAAAAAAAAAAACAAACATGTAATTAAACATTTTAAGTAACCCTCCTCTTAGTGGATTCCGTGGATGCTTTGTTGAATTTAAACAGATGCTTGGATTTCTTCTTCCCATGTCTTCTGTAATATATAACATGTCAACAGTTATGTAATTGGAGCAGTAAACTCTGGCTTGTTCTGTGCTAGGGGGAACAAGTGCCACCTTCTTGGCAGAAGATGTTTGTTGAAATTCCTGCTCCTCTGGATATAATTCCTCTTTTCATTCGTGGAGGGAATATTCTGCCAATTCAGGCTCCAGCCAGAACAACGGAGCAGAGGTAACAGGCACCTTCTGTTAGGAGACTTAAGACTGAGCTAGTGATTCTGTCTCCTTGCTGTTGGCTTGCTTAGGGAGTGGAGTAATCTGAAGAGGGGCTGTTTGTGACCAGGAGCCAAATGACAAGAGTGTGACTCAATCTTACTACAAGTAGTTGTCTGTGTATGTGTTTGTGTTTGTGTGTATGTGTGTGTGTCACAGAGAGAAACACAGAGATAGAGACATAGCGATAAGGGAGAGAAGAAAATGAGAATGAGAGAGGTTAGTAGATGATATTGGATTTGACAATTTGATCCAATTCTAAGCTCTATCCTTCCCTAAATATCCTTCTATTATTGCTTTTAAGATAGCTGGTGATGTCTGATTCATGAATTCTTTAATCCAGCAGGCTAGGTTAGGGCCCTCAAGGTTTTTTCCATCTAGGCTGTATTTAGTCATTTTTCTCCATAGATATTATGCAATCAAATATTTTGTCCAGAAATCAAGCATATTTTTTAAAAGCAATAATTTGTTCATATTTCTATTTTGTGTGAAATATATATAATAGCAAATCAAAACTTCTAATGAGCATTAATTGAAGGTATAATCAGCTAAAATACATATAATTAGAAAAAACTATAAGTTTTGGCTAGACATTTTGATATATCAGAAGGACCCTAAGGACCCTCAATGAATGAGATTTATTGTTTCTGACCACTAACTTGAATAATAAAGACATTTGAATTTTAATTTATTATGTTGCTATTCAATGCCAAGAAAAAAGAGAGAAGCTCATGCCTAAGTGTTCATTTCGATAGGAAAAATATTCCATAGGATATAAGCATATTCTTTATGAAGCCAAATATTTCCCTTAAGGAATTCTCAGTGTGACTTACTATTCTAGAAGCAACATTGGTTTATCATTTGTATTATGCTTCTCTTTCCTTATTGTGCAGTTTTCTCTTGCCAAGTAGTTAGGACCAAATCCTTGATACCTATCTCCATTCAGGTATCACAAAAATGTGACAGATGGATTCTGGGATCATTGCACCCAAGATGTTAACACACCTCCTAGCAGTTCAGGCTGCCCAGATTATTATTCAAGCCTCATTTTTCCTGGAGTTCCATTGGTCATGCCTTAAAATCAGCTGCTAAGATCCTTGATCCAATGACTTCAGCAATTTTGTGGTAGCTTTTTTTTTGGTATAGGCAAGCAAAAGAGACTGAGGGGTGAACCTTCCATTACCCATGGTGTAATAACATCCCTGGTATATCTTTTTTTGTTGATATTGTAGTGGTGAGTATGTGGGTAATAGAACTTTTCCCTTTTCCACAACCTTCACATGTACAGTACAGTGATGTTAATTACACTCATCATGTTGTTCAGCAATCACCATTTACCATTGGTATATCTTTACTAATAATAAAACTTCTATCTTTTGAACAGTGGATGAGGCTTTGATAATTATATTTGAAAAAGTCTCTGTTACCACTACCTCTTTTTTTCCAGATTGAGCTGTTCAGAGGTGGAAATAGGTTGCTTAAGGGTGTTGTAAGTTTCCAATCACTTAAGGCATTCAAGCATAAATAAAATGAGCATTTGGTAAAGTTGTTTAAGAAAGAACTCATATTTTTCTGGAGAAATCTAGGAGATGATTGGGGTTAGACTTTTCTAACCCTCAAATACATTACTATAAAAGAAAAAATACCAGTTTTCACTCTTGTTTCACAGCCGCCTGAATCCTTTTGGCCTCATAATTTCTCTAGATGAACAGGAAGAAGCATGTGGCTCTCTTTTCTGGGATGATGGCGACTCTATTGGTAAGGAGACCAACAAATTACAATGATTGAAATATTCTGGATTTCAGTATAACTTTACTTAAAAAAAATGAGATCCTAGATCAACAAAGTGAGTACAATATAGCACACACTATAGCCAGAATCTACTTTCTCCAACTTCACTTTCCAGGAACCTGAATTTTTTCTTATGTCTGGCACTCCTCTGAGGTAAGCAACACAGGTGAGAACATTATTTCCAGAAAGGTGTTAGTAAAATACTAGGGTTAACAGGAGAAATTGTTTCCCTAGTTTATTACTACAGTAAAATAAATTATTTTTTCTAATTAATTCTCATTTTGGGAGAAATGGAGACCCTAGTCTTACAGAAAAGAACTTTCAATGGAAAGTTGTAATAAATTGGCTGCAGTGGCATAGCTGTTAAGCTAAAGCAAAGAGCTGCTGAGATGCTATTGTGAGGAGACTGGAACATTGATTGGAAAATGTTTTCTAGCAATGTTGTTGTTATGTGCTATTGAGTCATTTCCAACTTATAGTGGCTGTGTGTACAACAGAATGAAACATTGCTCAGTCCTGCACCATCCTCACAATTGTTGCCATGTCTGAGCCCATTGTTGCGGTCACCGTGTTAATCCATTTCATTGAGGGGCTTCCTCTTTTTTGCTGACCCTGAACTTTACCAAGCATGATGCCTTTCTTCAGGGATTGGTCCCTTCTGATAAAATACCCAAAATATGTACACAAAGTCTTGCCGTCCTCACTTCTAAGAAGCATACTGGCTGTACTTCTTCTAAGACAGATTTATTCATTCTTCTGGGAGTCCATGGTATATTCAACATTCTTCACCAAAATCATAATGCAAAGCCATCCGTTCTTCTTTGGTCTTCCTTATTCATTATCCAGCTTTCATATGAATATGAGGCTACTGAAAATACCATGCCTTAAGTTAGGTGCACCTTAGTCCTCAAGGTGACATCTTTACTTTTTTAACACTTTAAAGAGGTCTTTTGTAGCAGATTTTCCCAGTGCAATACATCATCTGATTTCTTGACCGCTGCTTCCATGGACATTGATTTTGGATACAAAAAATGAAATCCTTGAAGTATTTTCTTCATTTATCATGATGTTGCTTATTTTTCCAGTTATGAGGAATTTTTTTTTTGTTGTTATGGTAACCAACATTCCTTTGTATCATTTTTTAGTCTTCTTTCTTTTCTTCTTTTTTTTTTTTTTTTTTTACCCCCTAGTGAATTATTTCAGAAGGCACTTACTAAATCTCTAACACTGGAAAGAGATTATTTTTTAATTTTGAACATAAGAACTAAATAAAAAGGGTCAGGGAAGGATATAGATGTAATGTGTTCATTGTGCGTTTGTGTATACGGACAAGTCAAAGAGATGTGGAAGTATGTTGTCCACTTGTTGTGTTATATCCCTCCTACTAAAATGTTGAAACCATGGCTAAAATAAAGCTCCCTCCCCATTTATCTGTATAAAATAAAGATGTAAGATAATGGCAAAACTGAAAGGCAAGGTAATATTTTGGAACCTATTTTACTATCTTATCTTTTCCAAACAGCATCATTTAAAAAAAGTAGGAAAAGTAGATTGTGGGATAGGGGATGGTCAATATTAATGAGCTACTTTTATCCAGTAATTGCTGTGTAATTTAGAAGATTCCAAGTGCTACTCCTAGACCTAATAGTTTTGAAGTTTACTTGATGAGAATTAACATTTAAAAAGAAATAGTAAAAGATAAGCTTAATTATTATTTTCTAATATTAATGCTTATTTTACAGACTCTATTGAAAAAGAAAACTACTTCTATGCCGAATATAAATTCAGTAATGTAAGTTAAAACATTCAGTATTTGTTGTGACATAATAGTTTATTTTCTGAAGAAAGTATGTTCCAAGGATTCTCAAAAATCAGTGTTTTAAAGTATTGGCAATTCTCCAAACTATGCTGATTTGGATACTTCTGTGTATTGCCATTGTTTTTTTTTTAAAAAAAAAATACTTTCACCCCATCATAACAGGGAGAATTGAAAACAACTGTGATTAAAAATGGCTTCCCTGGCACTACTACTCTGGTATATGAAAATGTTCAGATACTTGGTTTGACTTCAAAGCCTAATACTACTTCTGTGAATGGAAAAGCCATCCCAAGCGACAGAATAGAGTTTTTTCCCAATAGGGTAAGACTTAAAAAGCAAATTTACCTTTACTATATACAAAGTGCTAATAATTGAATTTTCCTGGAATGTTGCTTCCTTGCAAAAAATACAGTAGCTTACATTTCTAAAATAAACTTTTCCATATTTCTACAGCTCAAGAAAGACCTACAGCATAACATTATATTTTGAGATAAAAGAGTGCCCATGTCACAAACAATATCATGCAAGGCCAGTGCATTCCCTGCCAAAGTTAACAAAAAAGGAAGGATAAGTGAGTGGCTAAAGAAATGAGAATAAAGGTTTATTGCAAATTGGAAGTGGAAAGTTGTGGAGGGACTCTCTATTCATGTGTGCCCTCATTTAACAATTGAGATAACTGAGAATCCAGGGAGGTAAAATGACTTCTCAAGATTATATACTCTTAATAAGTGGCAAAGCAGATTCTTGATCTTGAAACTCCTGACAGTTCAGTTCATAGCTCTTTCACTCTGCTCCATCTGGAAATTAAATGTATTTATTGAGCTCCTGCTAAGAGCTTGAAACTGTGTTTGTACTATTAAAAAAAAAAAGCCAAACTCACAGCCGTTGAGTAGGATCTGACTCATAGCCACCCCTCCATGGGTTTCAGAAGCAATATCACTACAGAAGTAGATTGCCCAACCTTCTTTCCCAGAAGTGGCTGGTGGATTTGATCCACCAGCCTTCTGGTTAGCAGTCACATGTGTTAGGCACTACACCACCAGAGGTCCCGTGTTTGTACTATAGATTCATGTTTATAGATAAAAAGCATAGTCCCTGTCCATGAGGAACTTTATAGCATGCTGAATAAATACCTCTGCCCTGCAATAGGAGGGGAGAGCTAGAGATTTCATTTTCCAAAACTCTCATTTAGTTTCTAATACTGTATCCCACAATACAAATTATGGTCTTTAACGCTCTAAAGAGTAGGGGTATCGAGCTCAAAATACTTTAAAATTTCATTTTTAAAAATCATATTTAAAAAATTATTGATAGCAAGGTCATTTTAAAAATAATGTATTCAAAATTTACCCCTCTCTAAATGGAATGACTTTTCTCTCTGATTGGGGAAAACTTTTAGTAAGTTGTTTGGTATCTTAATCATAATGATAATTCCTTAGTTGAAATTTTATAATTGAAAATGTGCTTTTAGCAACATGATTCTCTCTTGATTCTTACTACACTCCTGAGACATTAAAGTATGTGGCCAACCTTGTCATGCAGATTTTAGTGAAGAAGAAATGGAGTGGTAGAAAAACTGAGCTGCCGTCCCTTTCCCTTCTATGTTCTTTATCTTTTCTAAGCTCCCTGATAAACTAAAAGTGATTGCTCAGGTCAAGGAAACAAAAACACCTCCTTTGGGAAATTCGTTTCACAATTTTGTTTTCATGAATGTGTATAGCTGCTCTTGAATAAGAAAGAACAACAAACAAACAGAAAAACTTGATAAATTTGTGTAGAGTACAGATTGAAATAAGCTGTTTAATTGGAGGACTCCATACATTTATACAGTTGGTGTCTGTGCTTCACTTAACAACTATAATTTACTCTAATTGTTATATGTACATATCTATATTGTGTGCATTAAATATATTATAGAATATTATTTTATATATGTAAAAATATGTCTGATCACCTGATAATGTTTGATTATCACTAGAGAGTCTTAACTCTAACTAGTTGATTTTGAAGTGAAACATCAATCATGCTAAATTTCTTCATATTGACTTATTTACTTTCTCTAATTTATCTCCTCTCTAATCTGTTACAGAAAATTATTTTATGGATATCTCTACCCCTTTCCCAGGAGCTGAATATTACATTTGAGTAGATCAGAAAATTTAAAAAAAAAAAAAATGTTATCTACAACAGTTACTTATAACAGTGAAGAAATCTATTTGATTAATAGGAAATTGCAGTTCAATCTGAATATGATATAATTAAAATATTTCAATTTTGAATATTGTTTGTGTGCATTACTCAAATTCTGATAGTATTTCTTAAAATAGCTGCACAAACCGTTGGAGAAAATTACCACCTCAAAGGACTGATACATGACGAAGTACTAAACTGATAAATAAGGAGGAATATGGCTTTCAACACATTCTTTTGAAAAATCTTTTGTAGAGTTTCTTGTTAATTTAGAAGGCTTATAAACCCAGTTAAACTGGGTAGATCTCTGATAAAAGGTAGCTTTTTGTGAAGCCTTTTTTTTTTAACTTTTTATTGTGATTTGGTTGCAGTTTTACAAAGTAGATTCACTTTACATTCAACAGTTCACATACATTTTGGTTTGCGACACTGATTATAATCCCCACAAAGAAACAGCTCTCCTTCTTTTCCCCATGTGGTTCCTCCTTAGTTGTGTCCTTCTTAACCATGTATTCCTGCCTGTCTAGCTTTCTACCTGTGCTAATGCTTCCCTTCTGATCTCCCATGGTTGACTGTTGTAAAGCGTACATCTCCCTGGTGTAGTTGCTCAGCTCATAGGCCTGTCTATTGTTTAGCTGACAGTTGAACCGTGGGAGAGAGTCCAATCCAGGCCTGAAGTATGACCCAGGGCCGTAGTCTTGGGGGTTTCACCACTCTCTACCAAACCAATAATCCTGGTCTTTTTTATGTTTTTCAATTTTGTTCCACATTTTTTTCCTCCCTCTATCCAGAATCTCCAATTCTGATCCCCTTCCAAGTGGTTGGCATTCCTGGCCGGACACCATCTAGTTCTTTTGGTCTCATGGCTGTATAAACTGAGGTTCCCATGGTCCATTGGTGCCTTGGACTAATTGATTCCATGTCTTTGATTTCCTTTATTCTTCTTTGTTCCAGATGAGGAAAGACCAATAGTTGCATCTCAGATGGCTGCTCATGAGTTTTAAAGACCCTGGTAGCTACTCATCAAAGTAGGATGTAGAGTAATACCTTTGTGCACTATGTTGTGCCAACTGAGCTTGATGTCCCCCATAACCATGGTTACAAGCCCACGGGTCCAGCAACTCACTCCCTCAAGGTGTTTGGTTGTGGCTAAGAAGTTATCTTAACTTTTTTTTTTCAAATGGACATTTAAATAGCACATAGAAATATGTATGTGGGAATATCTGCCAAACTTATATTGGTCATGGGTATCTTCTCATTCACCTACCCATATCTGATCTTCTTGCTTGTCTACCTGTGTATCCACCCATAAATTAGTGTTTGTTATTACTGATAGTGCAATATTGTGTATGTAATAGTATTTACCTTTGTTATCTGTTCCTCTTGTGCACCTCTCTGTGTCTTTCTTTACCTTAGTGATATTGTGCTGGTCACCCACTTTCATTATATTGCTTTTCCCTTCACCCAAATCAACACACGTCTCCTAACTAGTCAACAATTTTCCCTCGCCTTCTTCCCCTCGCATTGGTGGTAACCAACAAAGAAAATTTCTATCCCTGTGTAAACTTTCCTTGACTTTTTATAATAATGAACTCATACAATATTTGTCCTTCTGTGATTGATGTATAACACTCAGCATAATGTTCTCCAAGTTCATCCATGTTATGAGGTGATTCATGGATTCTTCATTATTCTTTAATGTTGCATAACATTCCACTGTGTGTATGTAACATAGTTTGGTTATCCATGTATCTGTTGATGGACACTTAAGTTGTTTCCATTGTTTTGCTGTTGTGAATAGTGCTGATTACCATGGTTGTGCATATATCTACTTGTGTTCCTGATCTCACCTCTTTATGATATATTCTTAGTAGTGGGATTGCTGTACCAAATAGTATTTCTATTTGCAACTTTTTAAGGAAGGAAGATGGGGCAATCTACGTCCATAGTGATACTGCCTCGGAAACCCAAAGAGGGGTTGCTCTGAGTCAGGTCCAACTCCACAGCACATAACAACAACAACAACAAGGAAGCACCATACTGTTATCCACAGTGGTAATACTATTTTATAGTTCCACCAGCAGTGAGAGTTCCAATTTCTCCTCACCCTCACCAGCATTTATTGTTTTCTGTCTTTTTGAACTTTGCTATTATTCCTGGGGTGAGAGGTTAGCTTATTGTTGTTTTGCTTTCATCTCTCTAACGACTGATGATCATCAGCATTTCTTCATGTGTTTGTTGGCTGCCTGAATATATTCATTGGTGAACGGTCTGTTCATGTCCTTTGTCCATTTTTGAGTTGGATTGTCTTTTTGATGTTGAGGTGTTAAAGTTTTCTGTAAATTTTAGAGATTATTCCCTTGTTGCATATGTCATTGCCAAATATTTTTTTCCCAACCTGAAGGCTCTCTTTTTACTCTTTTGGAGAAGTAATTTGATGTGCCTGAAAATGTAATTTTTAGAAGATCCCAGTCATCTAGTTTATCTTCTGCTGTTTGTGCATTTCGATTTAAGCTTGATAGTATATTTATGCCATAAATTAGGGTCCCTAAGTTTGCCCCTATTTTTTCTTTGATGAACTTTATAGTTTTGGGTATTAAAATTAAGTCTTTGATCATTTTTTTTTTAATTGTGATTTGAGTGAAAGTTTATAGAGCAAATTCACTTTCCATACAGCAGTTCACATGCACTTTGTCTCATGACTGACTACAATTTACTCCAATGCAACAGCTCTCCTCCCACTTCCTCCCGATAGTCACCTGTTCCGTGTGTTCATCCCTCCATGCACTCCT